GGTGGTGTATAGTCGACGAAAAGACAAGGGAGGAGAAGGTGCGGAGGGAGACGAGGATGAAGACATGTTTAACATTAGCGAGGAGAAGGGAGAGGCGGATGAGGGCAAGAAAAAGGAAGTCAAGTATCTCAAGTTGGGCGATATCGAAGGACAAGAGTTTGACGATGAAGACGAAGAGGGAGGTCGAAAACGAAAACGCAAGGAGGGTGAAGAGGGTATGGACGATGATGATGATGACTCATCTACCACCTCCGATGAACCGCTAGACGAAGACGATGCGATTCGCCGCTCCAAAGTAGGCCACGGCTACGACATGACAAAGTTTAACATGAAGGAAGAGATGGAAGAGGGCAAGTTTGCCGAAGACGGTACCTATGTACGCTCCTATGATGCGAACGAGGTGCACGACCGGTGGCTCGAGGGGGTGAACGAAAGGGATATGAAGGCGGCACGACGAGCCAAGCGACGCGCCGAACGCAAAGAGCGCGAGCGGGAAAAGCAAGAGGCAAAAGAGTTGGGGATTGATGGGAGTGACGAGGTTGTTGTGGGTGGCGAGACTACGGAGGGTAAGGATCCGAAAATAGCAATGGAGATGCAGCTCGTCGCGTTTCTCCGACCAGGCGAGTCTGTGCTCGAAGCGCTCGCCAGACTCGGGCGAGAAAAGAAGAAAAAGGACAAGAAATCGAAACAAAAGGAGGATACAACAAACGATTCCAAGCCCGTACACAAGACGGCGGATATCGACAAGCTCACGGCACTCGCTTCGGCATTGATGGTCAATGACCCGGACGTGTACTCGACGACGTACGAAGCGCTCCTCCGATCTGTACGGCGATCTGGGACAGTGCCAGAAGCTTGGGCACCGCCCGTGCCCAAATACGAGTACAAGTGGGCGACAGGAGGGGGCGAGGGCGTGTTTGGCCCGTTTACGGCGCTGGAGATGCAAGGATGGTATGATGCATCGTTCTTTGGGCTCGGAGGTGAAAAGATACACGTACGAAAGGTTGGAGAGGACGAATGGGGTGAATGGGATGAGGTGTTTGTTTAGGAGGCGGGCCGTGGAGACGAGTTCATCTCCGCCCGATTTCGAGGGGTTTTCCGTGCACGCCGACGTCCAGACTTTCAATCTCGTTCAATCTTGTAGATCCAAAAATAAACGATTCTTGTCATAGACGTTTTGGCATTTTTCGCTACTTGACGCTGTCTATCCCTGGAGCGGGCTCAGCGGAGTGAAGAATTCTGGTTGTCATCTCCGCTGTTGGTCGTTGATGTGAGCTAAATCTGGGATTTTGGATGGGATATGGTTGGGTGGATACGCCGTCGCTAGTGTCGAATGGCAACGACCACTCGACCCCTTCAAATAGACTCGACCCCTCACTCATTCTTGTTTTCCTTCCCATTTCTCCCCATCCACAGCGGTCTCTCCTCTTTCCTCTTCACCTCTTTTATTTCTTTAATATCCCTTTCTTTCTTTCAACCACTTTCCTTTTTTACAACCAACAACCGCAGCCGTGCTGCTCTTTCGTTGCACCTTCGGTCACACATTGCACGTACCTTATCACTCCTTCAAGCAAAAACTACAATCTCCAGTCGGATCCTGCACCTTTTTGATTCTTTGGAACCCCTACTAGAGTGGCCATGAAGCTGTCCGTGTCGCTCTCTGCCATCCTCGTTCTCCTCCCTACCCTCGTAGCTGCCACTGTATCTCCCCTAGATGCCGGCCACGGTGGTCTCTACATGGTAAGCATGCTCTTTAAAAGTATACTCTGATTGCTAATCGATTATTCCCCGTAACAGCCCCGGCATCGTGCCCGCCATTTCGGTCGTCAACGACAGGGTGGATTCGGTAATGGTGGATTCAACCGTGGAGGAAACAACCAGAACAAGCAGAATAACCAGGGTGGCAATAACAACAATGGAAATAACGGTGCCGCTTCGTCTAGCAGCGCCGCTGTCACCACTTCGGCATCTGCTGCCACCACCTCTGCTGCCGCCGCTACGACTTCCAGTGCTGCTGCCACTACCTCGAGTGCCGCCGCTGCCACTGCAAGCGCGAGTGCGTCTGTAGCTGCCAACAACAACGGCCGTGGTCGTAATCGTGGTGGTAATAACGGCAACAACAACAACGGCAATAACAACAATGGCAACAATAACAACGGGAACAACAATAACGGGAATAATAACAACAACGGGAATGCTACAACGAGTGTTGCTCAAACCGCTAGCTCTACGAGCAGCGCTGCTGCTGCCACTACTGCTGCCAATAACGGCAATAACAATGGCAACAACAACAACGGCAATAATAACAATGGCAATAACAACAACGGAAACAACAACAACGGGAATA